GGGTAGGTGGTGTTTAGGCTATATGCTGTTGAGAAAGAACAAACATGTCACCTTGTACTAGTTCCTGTCAGCTGAAAGCTGTTCAGACCACAGGGACTGGTATAAAAGTGAATATTGCAACCTTGCTGTCTCTGTCTCACTTCAACCCTACAGTCTGTGGGTGTTTCTGACAATCAAACACGATATGATCAGTGCAAATCGCCGCCTGAAAAGTATTCTTAAACCTCTTTGCCACTCCAGGACACAAACATATTGCTGCTCCTATGTTAGCGTATTTTTATTTTGACATTTAACTATAATACATATAATGATGCACTTCCCCAAAGCTAAACAATGATTTGAATGAAATCTGAGTTGTGTGGCCGTTCCCTGTCCAGTTTGGTGGCAGACAGTCAGACTACTGTATTTTCCACCCACTTCCAGTAAATTTATTTAGAGGAGATTACAGATCTCATCCAGACTAAAGAGCAGAGTCTACAGTAAAGTCTGTCTGGTTTGTCTGCATGCAGAGAAAAGGTTGTTGACTTCTCATAGTCCAGTTGGACTTGAGGTCTCACAGCAGGACCTTAAACAATTGGAAAGGATTAGAGCAATTTTTAAAGCTTTTTCTTCTCTTGGTAAAATTCACCAAACAAATCCAACACAAAAGCTCAAATATGCTCCTAATTGACAGCTTAAAAAAAAAAAGACTATTTTAGAAGTCTGGACTCAACCAATTGTACAGACAGACTTGGTTTTGTAAAACCAGACCCAGTATGACATTAATGAGGATTAAATAAGATTCATGAGCTTGAAAACCCCAACGTTTTGTTTGTTACTCCACATCGTTGACAGTATTTAAAAAATATGTGTGCACAAATATTGCATTCAGAAGCCTAACATAACCACAAACCTTTTTTTATTCTGAAATCATGACTACTTTTCCATCCACTCAAATTCACCTGCCAAATAAAAAGCTGCCTTTGAATACCTTACATAAACCCTGAGGCCACAGAAATTTGTCAGCACAAGAAAAGGATGCTCAGTCCAGGAAGAAGGGTATACAGAGGAGAAGAGCAGAGAAGGGTTTGTTTGACGAGTATTGTCATGTTCATTAAAGCTGATCAGAGTAAATAAACTGGGTAGAGCAGGCTGCATGTCCCGAGGACCTCGGTCTAGTACCCAGATAGAGGAAAATCCCGCACAGCAAATCAAAACAGGTTTAAAAAATCAGGAGGAGAAAGGTGGCCATGCTTTTCTTTTTCTATACTAATTCGGTTATTATCTCTACACATTAAACTAGCTATATGATCAGCCTCCTTTTAAACATTCACTTTGTAAAGGTTTTTACCACTACATATATGTCAAAACAGTTCTGATCCATTGTTGATTAGAATCAATACTGACTAACTTCTCTAGCTGGATATGGGGTTGAGGCCAGAGACCTGCACCGGGTCAGGTACCCGTATAAAACGTACATCTACGGGTAGAAATAAAAAAATATTATTTCACAGGTGGGGTCATGGGTATAACTGAACAGCATGCGAGCAGGTATCATGCAGAGTTACAGCATGAATGAAACTTTTTTTCTATTTTGTTATTTATTAACTCTACAGCTTAAAAAATAAATTGATACAAGAATATGCAGATGACAGTATTTTTTTAGGTATCAAAGCCAACCTTACTTTGGCCAATTTACAGCTACTAATGTGTGAGCACACCGCACACTGGATGTTAGCGTGAGGCAATGTTCTTTACTGCCTCTTTTATTATAAACGGCTGTGTGTACACTCCTGGCCGGGTTTTAAATGGGGATAATTGTGGGTAACAGGTTGGGTCTCGGTTCTGGACTCTACGGCTGCGGGTGGATACAGTTTTTGAAAAATCAGACCCGTGCAGGACTCTGGTAGAGGCCAGTGATTTATAGCCTTTTCATTGGTTCTATTTGCCTAGGCTCAACTTAGCTCAAACTATTTATTTAATCGATTATCGAAATTATCATCAACTAATTTAGTAATCGGTTAATCATTAACTTGAGTATAGAGACTAAAACATGCCTTTCGCTGAAAGAGCAACCCACCCAAAGCAGCTATTATACCAAAAATTATTTAAAAAAAAAATTGTATTCAAGATGACAAAACCTTTTTTTGTCCATTAATTTGCTCTATTCAGAAATTTTCGAAGTTTTAGTGCAGTTTTTGCTTCACTTGGCTTAAATTTTCTGTAAAATCTTCTTTAAGGAACCTTTTGCCATCTGATTGTTAATCAAAAAAAGAAACAACAGATTAATCAATTAGCTAAATAAGAGGGAGTCTTTATAGACAGGGCTGCCAGTTAGATATATCGCAACTGCTGATACAATAAGACAGCTTAAAAAAAATGGCGTTTGGGAGGAATAATAAACCAACAAATAAGAGGTCAATTTCCTTTAGTTATTCTATCTAAAGCTAAATTCTTACCAATTTACCATTCATTTCCTCAGCAGCATACAGACTAGCCCTGTATGCTCTAAAAAAGTATGGTGGCAGACTGTTATTGAAGAGATCCACAGTTTAGATAGTCTTTATATATCTGAGAAATGAAAAGATTAGATTAGATTAGATTAGATGAGCTTTATTGATCTCACAGCGGAGAAATTCACTCGTCACATATTGGCATAGTAATTAAAGAAGGTGCAAACAAAGAGGAAAATGGTGCATTAAGAAAAATATAAGATGAGGCTGTTCCATATCTCTGTTATAACTCACAAATATTTCACCTGTCCGTCAGCTCCTTCTGAAAAGCTCCAGTTGCAAAGAATGTAGTAAGAGCTCTGAGTGGGTAACATTGAAGGAGCTCCAAAATGATAGGCTGAGCAATAGAGATGAGTAGTAAAGGTGAGTTAGCTAATGACCGGAGCAAGTGAGCTGCATGTTGCCTTGAGTCTGAGCCAACAGAAGTGACAGACGTCTGTATAGGTGTCAAAAACTTACATGTTTTTGTTCTGTAGAGGCGCTTTCAGAGGTGCAGCAATGCGAGCTGCATGATTTTAAAGTGAAAACAACAATGGAAACGAAGCTAGGGTTGAAAATCTCAACTTTTCTGTTCGCTCCATCATGAAAACCAATTTTTCAATCAAAATGTAAGGTGGTAAAAAACATTGACATAGAAGTAAGTAAGTCTGTTAGTGGCTTTTGAAAAGCTGCTTGAATTTAACCCGCAGCAGAACATTTAAATCAGTAATTATTCATCCTGGAAAAAAGTAACGCTCTTGGTTTTTAATAGAGTTGCACCGATCCAGCACTACAATGGTGGTATCGGTATCGGGGGAGTACCAACAAAGAGGTCACCGATACCATTTTGAGAGCCAAAAGTTTATTCAACTATTGTCACCCATTCCTGGTAAGCAATAGTTGAATAAACGTTTGGCTCTCAAAATGGTATCGGTGACCTCTTTGTTGGTACTCGCTGATATTGATACCACAATTTTAGTCACCCATTCCAGGTAGGCAATAAAAAGTTCTACTGGATTCACTTTGTATTCGTCTTTTTCCTGCTTCACAAAGGTAGGCAGCAGCTTGACAAAGCCATGATGGCAATTCTTTTACATCCAAGTAGTATGCAGTTCTTAATATATATACACATCAATTTCAAACAGATGATATCGTTATCGGCCGGTACTGCACAGCCAGGTATCTGGGGCCAAAAAATGGCATAGGCGCAACACTATTTTTTAAGATGTTTGTGGTTTTTAGCTGTTGATTGGCTAAAACTGAACTTTGGTTGGTTGGCACTAACTGGCAATTCGCCCAATCGGCTACGGTCTACCAAATGTTTGAGTTTCTATAAACAATCAATCTGGATTGTTAGATTAAAAACTAAATCTGCAAAGTTTGTATTTTTCCTAAGAAAAAAAAAGCACAAAAGAAAACCCCCTCATTAAGACTGACATTTTGCCAGCATTATGTCATTTTTTAATAGAAAAACATCTTAGTAAAGTAGGCTTGTTATATGTCAACCAGCATAGCAGCCAGTTTGTGGATTCAGTTTTTGAAATGTTATCGATGTTAGGGTTTCTGTCTGTGTCCATCACCGAGACGCTTTCATGACGCTCTGAGTTACTCACCGCTCAGTTTTATGTAAATGTTATGCATGTTTACCTAAGTCATCAGGGGGTTTGTCCCATTTACAGTGGAGCCATGGAAAAGGTCAGAAGGGTTCACACAGAGCCACGTGTCGTTATTTGTTTTGCCCTTTAGCCAAACAGTCTGAATATTGTCCAACTTTAAAGAGCCTTGCTTTTGATCACTTAAACTTTGAAACAGACATTCTGCACATGTTGCCCAGATCTAAAAAGCGACGCGGCCCCTACTGATAGTGTAGCAAAGCCAGCTGGGAAAAGCTCCATCCCCCTCATATCCAACAGTGATGGAGATTTTATTTATTTTTGTCTTGGGGGGGGGGAGAAGTCCTCATCCAAATGACTCAATCAAGCCATAGCTTGTTGTACAGGGGGTTGACGTTCTCTCCTTCCTGCTTCCAACTAGATAAAATTAATCATTGACTCAAACGAAGCCTGCTGAGAGAATTTCCAATTAAGAAAACTTCTTATTATTCGAATGTCATTATATTGTTAAGCTAGGAGGAAAAAGTTCCTCACTGGAAATTTTAATTTGTTGTCGATTACCTTCTGTTCTCAAGCTGCGTCTCTATCTTTGAAGCCAAATCTTCCCCCATATTTGTTCCAGACTACTGCTTTAGATTCTTTTTTTTTTCCTTTAATGTGTTGTGCTTTTACTGCCAAGATTTAAGCCTCCTGTGCAGGCATGTGTCTGCATTTCATTACCGACCTCGTCAGAATCATTTAGGTACAGTATGTATCGAGTATATCAAAGTTGTGTTTGTGTCTGCTCTTTTTAGTTTGCTGTGACAAAATAATTCCTACAATCCATCCCAAACATTGGCTTTAATGAGCAAAAACTGACTGATTGAATTTGTTGTTTTGGACTGACAGCAGCTGTTTGTGTGTTTTGTCTTCACAGGAGGAATGCTTCCTTAACCTGGAGGCCCCTATCGCTAGAGTCTGCGGTTACGACACCCCCTTCCCTCACATCTTTGAGCCCTTCTACATCCCAGATAAGTGGAAGTGCTTTGAGGCAATCAAGAGGATGATCAACTACTGAATCCCCTGTAATGTATGAAACATGCCAAGGCTTATCATAAAGAGATATTATGTTAGAAATGCATGCCCTTTTTTTTTATTTTTATTTTTTTCAAGTGTGTTTAAATACCACATATTAACAACCTGTAATTTGTGTTTGAAACTTGCTCTCTTTTTAAATGTTTGCATGACCTGTCATTAACCAAACAAACATGGGGAAGAAGAAGCTAAACATTTAGAGTTGTGGTTATCTTGGCCTGAGAAATCCCACTATGTCATCATTTTATTAAAAATAAAGCATGAATGATAAAGGCTATGTTGGGAAAACATAAAACATTGTGATTACACTTATAGCATTTAAGAGGAAAGGTAGCAGCTAACCAGATCATATTTTTATCTTTAGGAAGTGTGACCACCTGCTAAAAAAGCAGAGGTATCAGACCAATTGTAGATATGGGATAAAGGTGTATAAGAAGGAGAGATTCTAGAAGAGCAACTAATGTGGTTCTTGTCCTCATAACACCTCAAAAACTAAAATATTAAAGTCTCTCCTTTCATATTGACTTTATTTACCAGTAGAAAACATTTAAGACATTCGTCAGACTTCTTTGGTGCTGAAATTCCAGCCAATGCTCAGAAACATGGCAGAGGTATATCTGAGACCGTGGTCGCTTCTGTTAGCATCTTTAATGTCCGTATCTGTGCAGTGCGACTGGAAAAAGGTTCAATGTTCAGAGAGGTTCCCAGGAGAAAAACCTTTCTTCTTTTTTTCTCCTGAAAGATGGAAGTGTGATTTAGTTTACAATGTTGCATCCAAACCATAGATGAGATGATTGGATGTGATGCATAGCCCGACATATCTGCAAAAGCGCCTTTTTCAGGCTTATCTTTTCATTCTAGTTCTCAAAAAATTGTTCAGTGGCTAAACGGAAGAGATTTGATGAAATTTCAGCAATTGCAGCATGAATCAGTTGATTTAAATAACTTTTAATCCTGTTAAAGATAAGATCAATTCCCTGCCTACACAATTGTCCATGAAGGGGATCTTCAACCATAGTCCTGAGGACTGTTCTGCATGTTTAAGATGTGTCTCTGCTCCAGCACGTCTGAATCAAGTGATTGACTTATTATCGCTCAAGGGCTGCAGATGCCTTTTAATAACCCGATTATTTAAGTCAGGGGTGTGGAGGCACTAAAACATGCCTAGAACATGCAGAACAGTCGGTCCTGAGGATTAAACTGGGGTTTGCGTACGTTTCAACAGAAAAAAAAGAGTCATGCAATGATTACTATAGGCTAGGTCTGTCTGTTATCATCTGCAGGGATAATAAGACCTTTTAACTTGGGACGGTCAGTGGATCAGATTGCTCCAGAATTCCTCTTTGTCACTGCATAATGAGTTATAGTTTCACACTGCTGGCTCACAAGGAACAATGACACTTTCATCTAAATTGCATTCAAACATATGTCTCTTTCAATCCTCTGCACTCTGCTAAATCATAATCTATCATATTTGGAAAGCCAAGTTCTGTACTCATTGAACCATCTCTTCATCTCCAGGGCCAACTTCTGGTGGACCTGAACTCCAAACTCTCCATCCATCCAACCAGGAAAGAGCAGCCAGAAAAACGCTTTGTTGACCATCCAATAAAAACACACTATCCAGATGGCCTTCATGTTCTCCTATCCTCAGTTCAAAAGTCTGTTACCTTATGTCCACACTGCAGAACCTTGCTGTTTTTGCAGAGGAGAGAGCCGATCAACGGAATCAGCAGTGAAATGTAGGCTTTAGTTCTTATATAGTGTTGAATTTAACAGCAGGGGAAACACGTTTGTTTTGATACGTGACTGCCTTGTTTTGTGTGCTGTTACCCGCTAACCTTACCAACTATTCTCTGATCTGTTTAGTTTCAAATGACATGAAGTGTATCCATAAATATGGTGTGATTTTTAATCAAAATAAACTTAGACATTTGTTCACAACATTCATTGGTTGAGTTTTAATGCGTGGCTCGTTTGGTATCTTTAAACCTACAAAAAAAATAGACTTACTCAGTCACAAAGCATTCCATGCATGGATTATTTTGTTAAAATTGTTGGACTTTGTAATAACCAATTCAAGCTGATGATATGTACAGAAATAAAGTGTGACCAGCTGAATGAAATGTACTATTTAGTTGCTTTCTAAGTTTACATGAAGGCTGTGCAAAGAACAAAAGCCATCAATCTTCCACCACTTCCTATGTGCAATTCTCTTCATTTCTGTAGAGGATTCACAAGCTAGATTACACCAAATGCACATCGAGTTTAACCGGTCCAACTACCGTATTAGCCTCTGCTACAGCTGGTCACCATCTGCTTTTGACAAGCGTTTCCCTGCTCTGACTTTAATTTATATAAATATGTTATGCAAATATGATATATTCAAACCCACCCCAGTAGAGGTGGAAAATGTATTATTTTATCAGATGATATGCAGACTGTCCCAACTGGCTGTGTGTTAGGAAGACAAGTGAAAGTGTGAATCAAACTCATTGGTCAAATGGATACTCTGCACGTATATGGAATAAATTCAACACAGCTTCCATTCGTCTTTGTGGACGTCTGTGTCTTCAGCAGGCGTAGAGCTAACAGAACTGGCAGCGTTGCGAGGCAAGGGCTCAAACATGTACGGCTGTAAGCCTTCTACACCAAACCAAGCTTCTGCCGCCCTGCCGTCCTCTTCCACAACATCGTCGTTCCCGCTTTCCTCCTCTAAATAAAAAATGTATGACGGAGGAGACTCATCCACGACGTCCGACACAAAACTCTCCTCCTCTTGCATGTTTCTGCTGTCGATTAGGGTTCCTTGACGGTGTTGTTTCTAAGTCACCAATTTCGTACTACTTTGTCCCAATGGAAAATCCCATTGGGAACCTACTAGCACTAAGTTGCTAACTGGTTAGCAAGATGCTTCCGACAAACCGACCACAGTCAAACTTGCTTGCGAACCTTCCGCCACAACAGTCTCACCCTCTTGATAAACAACCAATCAATCGAATTTGCAAATGCAATGGTTGGAACAACTAAGCTAAGAAAAAAAGGAATGAAAAATGGCTGAAAAAATTAATAGTTAAAATGAAGTGATGGTCTAACAGTTTATCATGGATTTTTATGTTCCAGAACCAAATTTTTTCTTAAGGCATTTGGAAAAAGGTAAAATCAATTTAATCATCCATCCATTTTCCATCACGCTTATCCCGACTCGGGTCGCAAGGGATGCTGGTGCCTATCTCCAGCTTTCGAGAGGCAGGTTAACCGTAGACAGGTCGCCAGTCTATCGCAGGGCAACACAGAGACAAACAGCCACTCACACACACACAACTAAGGATAATTTAGAGAAGCCAATTAACTTTACAGTCATTTTTTTGGACTGTGAGAGGAAGCCAGAGTACCCGGAGAGAACCTGTGCATGCACGTGGAGAACATGCAGACTCAATGCAGAATCTTGGAACCTTCTTGCTGCAAGGCAACAGTGCTACCCACTTCTCCACTGTGCAGCCTCGATTTGATCAATTTAAAGTATTTATAATGTGTTTAAACCTATTCACAATGCAAATCCAAGAGATAATCAAATCATTATTTGGTAAAATAATATCTTATTGAATGATTTGCCTAGATGGAAGTCAATAAACTTCAATAACTGATTCTTAACCTTCTGTGATTGCGCTCGTAGCCAAGTAGCAAACGTGAGGGTAGTCATCTTAAATGTAGATGTATAAATGTCATGAGCATATGAGGAAACTAGTAACTGGTTAAATGTACTCAGTTATATTTACATGAATAACTTTTTTAGAAAAAAAAGTGTACTTTTAGTAGTTTTACAGCATTGTCCTTGAGTAAAAATATTTTTAATTATCCCCACTTTTTCTGATTCCTGCATTGTTGTTGATTCATATTTTTGCTTTTGCTTTTCATCAGTTCCAACATCAGATCAGATCTTTACATGTGTGCCTGTTTTTTTCTGTGCTAACTGGTCCTGGATCTGTAAGGCACGTTTTTTTTTTTTGAAAAATGCATATCCATGAAACCCATAATGTGGAATTTGATAGGTCAGATTACAAGATAAGTGTTAGTCAGCCTCTTGAAAAGGGCCATCAACAAGCAACAAGAAAATGTGACGTAATGAACCACTTTATTTACCTGCTGTTAAAATAAATTCTCTGGTGCTGCCACTGGTCAGGAGCTTTCTTATTTTAAGAGCGTGGCAGAATTGCACACGCAATTAGATCATTTAGATTTAGTATATCAGACCTTTTTTTTTTTTAATCTCATCTACATTTCAGTTTAATATGTATTTGCTTCAGACTTTCTGCTCAATCTTGCCTAAAAAATAGATATTAGTGAGTGGATAATCTGGTTGAATAAAGAAATTAGTTTGCTTTTGTACATTTACCTATTCCTTTGATAATTTAATGCTGTGACCTATAAACAAGTTAGCTGTTGCATTATTTGATTTAAGATGTTGAAATCAATTCAACCTTCTAAAAGTCTCATCCTTCTGCGAAACGTCTACCCCTTAAAACCTGTTCTGTGGGAGAATCTGTAAAAAAAATGATTATACATAAAAGTGAAAATAAAGCCAAAAAACCCCACAGAAAGTATTTTCTTAAAAAGGCAACAGTGTTTCCGGTTCGTAATAACTATAAAATTGCATAGCAAGTTTAGCTGAACATATGTTTGTTTGCAGGATGGAGATGTAGTCAAAGGATGATGCAAACGTAACCTTTATGGATCATGAACTGATCCGATTTGATTTGAGTCCTGACCTTTATGCTTCTCTCAGTCATGCATTCATTATGTTGGTAGGATTTTAAACTAATGACTAAAGTTTGGTGAAAACCAAATCAAAGCTTTAACAGCGTAGTACAGAAATCATTGGACATCTGTCCAGTAAATAATCATGTTATAATTATGGAAATATGATCCATTTACATCTATAGGGTAAAACCAGGACTAATGGGATTTTTGTGTTGTTTACATTATTCCCCTCATGAAGGCCGTGTTTTCTTCCAATGATGAGCCCTGGACAAAGTACGGCTGTAGGAGGAGAAGAAAACCTTTAGGTCAGTAAAAGAGGAGGAGCTTCGAGCCTGAAAAAAAATTCAGCTCACAAAGCAGACACTAGGTTATGACCAGCCAGTCCTTCAGCTGACCTATCAGTCACACACCTGTCCCCGAGTCCACTGCCTGTATCCAAGTATAAAAACCAATTGTTTTATATAAATGTCAGTCAGGGAATAAGACTGACTGGATGGTGCTTTTAAATGTTATCCTTCTCTACATCATTAGAGGTGTTTAGCTGAAAAGTGAGATAAAAACTAAACCAGGATTGGGATCTTTTTCTCATTGGAATTTTAATGTTTGGAGATTTGGATGAAAATCTTTGGACTGGTTATGTTCAAGTTAAGAGTCTCCTGGTTTTAATAAAAAACAGCCATCCTAAGCTTCTTCCAGCGTAAAGGTTTGGCTGCATCTTCTTGCCATTTGGAAACATTCTTAGATCAAAATGCATGACCAAATGTGACTTTATTCTTTTATCTGAAGAACGTCTCCTGAAATGTGTTGAACGCTCTAAATGGAAGATAAATGCCTGATGTCCTACAGGAAACGGTGTGACTGATGCCTGCTTGGTTTCTGAATGATTTACTGAACCGATGATCGAAGGGGGTATTTCAAACTGCGGCTTGTAAAAAAATAAATGTTTTTTGCAGTTGTTCTGATCAAACTAGACTGTTTTATTTCAGGATAAAAATGACCAGATTTCAATCTGCAAGCCATAAAATATCAACCCTATGTGAACGTTCAAAGGCAGACTGTCTTAGAGTTGTCTCACATCATTGCAGCCCTTTTTTCATAATCATAAAGAGAAATTGAATTTGCAAGTTTTGCAAAAAACTGTTATATCCTTTGAACATTCACTGAATTCATGTTTTTAAAATTTTCTATGAAATAAAAACATCATGGTTGATCAATTTCAGCCACTGAAGGTTCTGCTAACCTTCATGCTTTTTTTAAGAATTGCAGGAAAACAAACTTTTGAGGTTAGTTTTTGAATTAAAACGCTGAGTGTTGTTCTATTTTACCATTAAAGTGACATATTTGAACTTACAATGACCTCTCATAAAGCCTATTTTTTCTTCCCTGAAGTTTAAAGTCACTTCAACTTATCATTATCAGTTGTCAGAATAACTGTAGCTGTTCGATGGTGGTTTAGTGGTTAGACAGCAGGGTATTTGTTTGGTGGAGAAGAAGCCACAGAGGTTGCTGGTTCAAAACGCAGACTGTCTCTGAAACAAGAGGTGGCGGCTTAAAAGACAGATGAAAAATTCCCTCACTGATGGACTATAAATGCTTAACAACTATGATTTTAAGTTTGCAATAATAGATTCATAGTTTGCACATTATATTTTCTAAGTCATTGTGACTTTTATATTACCGGTAAATGAAAAAAAAATCAGGATACATGCTTAGAAAAAAAATGAATTCAGTTTGGAAAAATGAACAACAAATATAAATGGTTCAGTTTAAGGCCTAGACTCAAACCTTTCCTGAAGTTTGTTGCCTTTAAATTTAGAGTTTTGCAAACTTTTCTTTCCATTTTTTGTCAGTTATCAGTTATATTTTTTATTTTGCAAATTAGATCAAACTGAGTAAGATTTGATGAAAAGCTAAAGATTATTAATTGGATATAGATCCTGGACTTTGACTAGGCCGTTGTAACATATAAAGATCTGTCAAACTAAAACAAATCCATTGCAGCTTTGGCCGTCTAGCCACATGTATGAAACTCTGGACCATCACAACCGTTCATTGGCCCTCCAGGGCCAATAACGGCATATTATATGTTAAAGTACAGGCATATGGTTCTTACAAACTGGCTAAAAATAATAAAAGAATCAGAATCAAGTTTATTGCCAAGTAGGTTTGCACTTACATGGAATTTAAATTGTTTTTGATAATGCAGACGAATCATATACATATACAGAATGTATAGCTATATACAACATAAAGCATACAATATGCTTTATATA